CCATGGATTATTCTTCGCTGAACAGATTTTTCCTTTAATTTTCCATGTATGCAGATTTTTTTTTCTCATTTTATCTGGTGAATAAAAGCTAAATGAACAAATTTCTCCATTTATCTCTCAATTTTTCAAATTTTTTTTTTTTGGTAAACATTTTTTTACTTAATTTTAGCTTCTATTAGCCGCACATCTATAAACACCCAGATGCACCATTTCCGTAATGATTAGTTTCAAACATGTGACACAGAAGATATCAGAGACCAGAGAGCAGTAAAGAAAAGGCCTCTGGTTCAAAACATAGAAATGTTACTGATAGATGTTCTATCTAATCTCAGAGATCCATTGATTGCTGACACATTGTGAGCAAGTTCACAGTCAAACAGAAGGCAGAGAAAGAGGCCAGCACACTGCTTATCTGGCTGCACAGGAGGACCTGAAAACACCTGACAAACAAGAAAAGCCAGTCAAACTTTCAAAACCTCTGAATCAATCTGATGCTTTGTTTAAGCTTGTCCTGAAATCTGGTTGGAGCCAAAAAGCAACGATCCTAATGAAGCTTTAAGATCCTCCTCTTATTTAGGATCAACGCACATTAAAAACAGGCTTATAATCAAATCTTTTATTACATTTGGTGTTTTATTTGCAGAAACCTTTAGAAACCCACCTGAGCAGGACTTGGGTTCTGGTTGTATGTATAGTTGGAGTTTCTGTCCTGGTTGTTCCAGCTTCCCTGCAGCTTCCCGCGGGGTTTCTCTCCGTTCGCGGTTCGGCTCCCGCGGTTCGGCTCCTGCAGCAGATGGAGGCCGCATCGTCTCTGGAACCGGGCCACCAGCTCCGGGTCCTGGAGGAGCTCCAGCAGCTGCTGCATGTCCGCCGGAGCAGGAAGTGTCTGAGCGATGAGGAGAGGGCGCGCGGAGCCGCATCCCGGCAGGTGCGGCCGCTGTGTCACAGGTGAGCTCAGAGGGGCGGGGCTTCCAGGTGTCTGTGCGACCTTTATACCGGGACCTTCAGAGGCGGTCATAAAGTATTTATAGCCGGTTTATGGTTTTATTTCTGGCTGCAGCGGCTGGTGGGACTAAAGCTTTATTAATTGAAGTAAAACTAAAAATACCATAAAACTTGGACTGAATGGAAAGTTTTATTAAAAGTTAAAGAACTGCATAAAAAATAATCAACAAAATCAAGAAAATGACCCAATTGAATAAACTAAGCATACACTAGAGAATACGTGTTTTTTATTTACTAAATATATGTGTTTAATCCATAAAATGATTCATTATTATTCATATTTTTATTTTGCATATCTATTTTATAACCCCCCCTCCTTTTTTTTTATTTATTTTTGATTTAAATATCAAATATATTATAAAAAAAACTGAATGAAAAACATTTTGAAAATAAAAACGGGTTTAAAAAATAAAAGCCTTTAAACTAGCTTTACAAAATAAAAGTGTCATAAAGTAGCACTCCATTATGGAATAATTACTTAAAATAAAAATATGTATATACAAAATTAGGCCCAAATATTTTGAATTTTTTTTTTGTTTTGTTTTTTTATGAAATGTCTCCATAAAAGACAAGCTGATTGTGGCATTTTTTTAAATTAGGGGGAAAATTTTTTTATTTTTTTGTATTTTATTCTAAACTTTATTCTCATTCTAGACTTTCGTGCAGAACGCCATTAATTTGCTTTTTTAGTTTTGGGTTTTCGGTTCACCTACTTTGAAGTCTTTCCTCCAACCAATTGTCCTTTTTTATCCTTTAAGAAGGAATGCTCTGCAATCTGCTCCCCACAGCATGAGGCTGCCACTGCCGTGTTTCACTGTGGATGCTCTAATGTTTTTGTTCAGTGGTGGTTTGCGCTTTAGCCAAATGTTTGCAGTAGAGCTCACCTTCCTCACCACTTTTTAACATTAAAGGCTGTAGCTACAGTTTTTTTTAATCAAACTATTCATTTTTCAAAAATACCACATCCTCAGAACATCATCAATAACTAAATTATTAATTTGAATAAAATGAATAATAGTTTTATAAATGTTGTGGGGTCCAAAGAATATAAATATTACTTCTGTTTATGATGCAAAAATCGACTCAAAAGGATTTTGCACCAAGAGGATTAAATTCAGATGAGACGGAGCTCAGGCGTTGCCAGATCCTAATAGCTCTGTGATCGAGAATTAAAATGGCTCCTTCTTTGAGTTCCATCTCTCAGATTCAAGTCAAGGTCTGTAAATTTCTTTTTAATCAGATGGGAACTATAAAACAGGAGCAATCAGGGGCACACCTCCAATTCAATCACAATAACCCTGGAATCCCTCAGGGTTGAGTGCTCAGTCCACTGCAGTTCACACTATTAACGCACAGTTGTGAAGGATAGGGGACAACCTGTGTGGATAAGACAGATCTGATCCCTGCAGAGGTCTGAAAATCTATGATTCACGGGTATTTATTAATGCCTTTTGATAAGATTAAAATACTGAAGGTTTCCTATGTTATAACAACTGACAATGTAAATTATTTTAAAAAATATCGTATCCATCAACATCTAAATCGGTATGTCTGGCTTTTTAAAGATTGTAAATCTGCCAGAAACCTGGAATCTGTGCACCTCTGATTAATAGAATAGAATAGAAAATCCCTTTTATTGTCCCAAAATGGGGAAATTCTGGTGTTTAAAGCAGCAAAGATTACAGAAAATATTGTCACACAAATGTGGACCTTAGAAAAATGTATAAGAATAACGTAATGAGGAAGAGCTGAAAGATAAACAATAAAATACTTTTATTGTAAAGTGTTTTAACAATATAAAACTGGAGAATAAATAACCAATATGCAGCTATGGACATTTTTCCAGTAATGGATATTT